TGTAAGACAATGTTTTCCTCTTTCAAAACTGCCTTAAAAGTTAACAAAAGGGGCGTTAACTGAATGTTTTAAGTAATTTGTGCATTTATCGACATAAACGTTTTTATTTTTAAAAATCAGGGTCTTATGGTTTCGTTTTTTTTAAACGCAATTTGTATGCTGTTAACGTTGAATTGCAGACTGTCCCATGTTTGGATGACATGATAAGGGCTATGTGAGTTGTTCTGGACCAAAGCATTTTATGTACATAATTTATACACTGTATATATTGTACATATTAAACTTAAATTGCGATATAAACGTTTGTGTCTATGTCTTTATAATCCTGTCCCCCATGTTATGGGTCTTGAGGGAAACTGCAATCTTTCCCAGCTGCAACTTTGCCATGCCAGAAAGCTGTGGCTTAGACCTATAAATACAAACATTGCATTTACATAATTGTCGAGACTCAATATAGCCATGTCTGGGCAGAGGGCTACACCACAGTTAAAGAGAGAGTGGCTTTTGGAAAAACAACGGAAGATTGTGGGATATCTGAAGGCTCTTTACTGTTGGGGTGAGAATTCAGGCGCTTTAAAGTCGAGCAGATAAACAGACATATCAAGAGCTCAAGGCTGTTTGCCACCAAACTCTTTATGTAAATGCTAGGTTTGCATGAAATGTTCTCGATTAAACAAAAGACCGTCCTCGAGGTGCATCAAGTTGGTGCATTCAGGTCAGAAATCCCATCCAATAATGGCGTCAGAACTCCTCTTCATTTCATATGATAATACTCTTACACCTTTGTGTTTTTCTGGGCCCTGCGCAGTGGCATGGAAATATTATACCGTTCACTTGTTTGAAAGGTATTCACCGCATGGTCTATTTTGAGGCCATGAGGAACTAAAACTGTGTCAATGGATGGTTTACTTTGTGGAGTAAGAAAAACATTTTCATATCACTTTCAGGTTAGTCTCAGATCACTTTTCAGACTTGTTAAATCATTAATGTGTGTCATTTCAGCTTATACCAATCGGCTAATCCTCTGATAAACCTCAACTGTCCACTGCAAATGTGAGATAGCGGAGACTTGACACTATTCACCTAGGAAATGGTTTTAACCTACATACAAAACACTAATGAAACTAGTGATGCAGTTAGGATTATGTTAATTGCCTGGCTTCAAGCCATAAAACTCTCCGATTTCATACGCATAGATAAAATCAACACCGTTTTACGTTCTTGGAAGCAGAAGTGATGATATTATTACTATCTTGAGGGTATTCCTCAATGCGGGCATTGAAACCTTTTAAAATACGAGCTATAAATGATGAGTCTTTTATAAAAATGAAGTGCCCAACCATAGAAACCAATTGATGTTCACTTTCAGGTCTGGGAACAAGAGAAAAATATATAAATACATGGTTTACTCAATCATCATCTGGTAAATAATTACAATTAGGAGATTCTAAGGGTAAAATAAACATCAGATAACCTCACCCTGTAACATTGTGCTTTTAGGTACTTTCAGTAAAGGCACGTTTTCTGACTGATGATGCATATTATGGCAAGCTGTTTTAATATTTAACCTCATTCATTCATTCATTTAGTCCCTTTATTTATAAGGGGTTGCCACTGTGGCATGAACTACCAACTATTTCGATGTTTTACACAGCAGATGCCCTTCCAGCTGCAACCCAGTACTGGGAAACATCCATACATACTCATTCACACACATATACTACAGACAATTTAGTTTTTTTAATTCACCTGTATCGCATGTCTTTGGACTGTGGGGGAAACCGGAGCACCTGTACGAAACCCACACCAACACAAGTAGAACATGCAAACTCCACACAGAATCTCCCAACTGACCCAGCCGGGACTCAAACCAGTTTTTGCTGTGAGGCAAAGTGCTAACCAATGAGCCAACCTTTAACTTAAACATATACATGTCTACTTGCATGAAACTAGTACACATAGCTATTAAATACAGCTTATTCAATAGAGACTAGATAGCTACTTTGTCCCTATTATGACCTTTTATGTTACTATTAGGACTTGTATTTAAACTCTACTGATTCTGAATGCTTAAAAACAGCGTTGGGAAACATTTAAAGTAATATATAAAAATTTTGAGTCACTTAAAACACAAAGGTAACTAAATGTGTGACTTTTTAAGTAATGTGAAAGTATGTGTTGTTATTTCTCTGTTTTTTAAAGATTAAGTTTGTAATATATTACTTTTAAAGTAACTTTACCCAGCGTTACTTTCAAGTGTTACAAATTAAGAAGCAGTTGTGAATAGGATGATTTTTGTCACTAGTAAGACCTAGATACTAGCATTGTCGCCTCACAGCAAGAAGGTCACTGGTTTGAGTCCCGGCTGGGCCAGTTGGCATTTCTGTGTGAAGTTTGCATGTTCTCCTGGTGTTCGTTTCGTCCTGGTGCTCTGCTTGTCCAAAGATATGCGGTATAAGTGAATTGAATAAGCTAAATTTGCCGTTGCCTATGTGTGTGAATGAGTGTGTATGGGTGTTTCCCAGTACTGGGTTGCGTCTGAAAGGGCGAAAAATTCATGAAGTCATCGCTACTAATTTGGAGTACTAATTTTGTTCCAAAGATTACTGATTATTTGTTAACTTAGCAGTGGTGTTAAATAAAAATCTAGCATTGTTCTGATTATTTTCTATCCGTTTGCAGAGGTGCTCAGCGCTGATGGATTTTAGAGTCCTCCTATTGCTTCACATACTGTCTTGTACACAATTTTGAAGAAATCTAATTTAGTTATTTTTTCTTTAACATTCCAGGGCATGGGTTGCTGTTTTGAGAGCTCATGGTATGACTGTTGTTATACCATGGTTTAGTTTTATTCTCTCAAGCCTTTTTTAATTTGATGGGTGCTACAGTATTTAGAGTTTTAGTAAAGATAGCATCCATACTGCTGGTTACAACATCAGGGTCATTTGCGGGTGCATTTTGAAATAAAGAAAGATCAAGTAGGTTATTTGTAAGTTCATTTTTAGTGGAAAGGACGATAGTTTTACCAGGGCGGTATCTGTGCAGATCTGCTAGTTTCAGGTAAACACAGCTTATATAGTAAGAGGTAGTGGTCTGTAATATCATCACTTTGTGGTATAATGTCTACATCAATGACCTCAATTCCATGAGACTTAATTATATCTAATGTATGCTTTAAGTGATGGGTTGGACCAACAACATTTTGCTTTATCCCAAGTGATTGTAGTAAATCTGTAAACTTAGTCCCTAAAAGGTAATAGTATGAATAACCACAAGTACCTAATTATTAATAACTCACATATATAATGATTATGTACTGATATCTAATAAGAAAACACTAAACTGTAAAAAAAAAAAAAAGTAGTTGAATTGAATAAAATCTTCTAGTCATCTGAACTTTAATGAGTCAAACTGACTAAAAATATTAAGTTAAACTCGTTGACTTATTAAACTAAGTTGAAGTAACATCATTTTTACAGTGTAGGGTCTAATGAATAATACTTTTATCTTTAAGAAGGCACCGTAGCTAATGAATACGCAAGAGTAGCTAATAAAAACTACAATCGCGTTACAGAAAAGATGCTATCATCTAAAAAAAATCACTAGTGGCATAAACAATTGACTTAGACTACTTGTTAAAATGGCTTGCCATACGCGGAGTTCCTTCAAAAGCTTGGGAATGTTGTGGGAAGAGTTTGCCACCTGCTGGACTTAAAGGGAATTCCTTCAAGAAATAGATACTGTGCCTTTTTTCTGCTATCAGTAGAGCTTGTCCAAACCTCTTTGTACCGATACTCCCCATAACGTCCGCTGCGTCATTTGCACCAACCTGGGACCAATTCCAGGCAAATCCCCTGCAATAGGAGGCAATAACAATGTCAGTTCCCCTGAAACTGGACAAAACAAAGCCTGAAAAACGATAATCCCAACGGCTGATGGAAAAACACATTTGTGTGACAACATCGCGGCCATCTGGTTTACATTTCCCAGCATACCTCTCTGCCTGACGGTCCTGGTGGAGAGAGTGTCCGTCAGCGCACCGCAACATCCCCAAGGGCAGCATTACTCGCTGGAGAGCCCTTGTTTCCCGGCCCAGCTGATTAAATACACGCCAAAAAATCCAACTCGGGTCTAGAGCCCTTCATGAGAAGATCGAGGCCCGATTAGTCTGCGCGCTGATTTAAATCAATACCCTGTTCTGTGCAATTCTCGCCAACTTTCCCCAGCCAGCTGTCAATACGTTCAGGGTCCCCTCGAATCCAATCAAGGCTTTGGAGGATCCTGTTACCTACATGATTCTAATGACCCCATCCAGACCTTCAACATGTACATGTGTGTCGCATTTAACATACTCACCTTGCTCTGGTAAAACACAATGGTGCATTATTGGTGCACCTGGATCGTCTCACTTGACGAGCAGCTCTTAAACTTCCCAAAAGACATTCGGCCTTTGGGGGTTTGACGTTTCTCGTATTCTGGCTATTAGAAATGTCAAGTGTTTCCAATAACACTGAGCAAAACACACAAAAAGGGAGTAAATAAGAATATTCAAGAATTTTTTGGGGGTGAAAGAATTGAAGGCTCTTTGGCCCATTTCCACTGTTTTGATTCCCGGAGTTCACTAGCACACACAAATTGAGAAAATACCAGTCTTGGAATTTCCTGTTACGGTTAACATTCCGTGCAGGTTCTCGAATGTTTCAGTTTTCACAAAGTTTTCTTGAGCTTCAAGGAAGTCCTCGAGAATAAAGTAGCAATGAATGAATGTTCGTCTTTCAGTATTCCGACTGGATTTCAGATTTTAGGAAGCTTGAAGCTTCAGGATGCAATTTAATATGTAGTGTTATGCAAGAAACTTGGCCTACTCTCGAACTTTAGGTAATACACTTTATGTATAAGTTTAACTTTAAATTTAACTATAACTTTAAGTAGGACAAGTTAAGTCTGAATGACAATAACAGTTTTAAACAAAAAAAATTTTCCGTTACATTTTTGCTCAAATAATTTCGCTTAAAATTTCCACAGGACATTCAATTTTGTGAATATTTTAATTAAAGGGATAGTTTAAGCAAAACGTATTATTTATTCACACTTTCACGGCATTCAAGTTGACTTTATTTTGCAATAAAACATTAAAATATTAAACATAAAAAAAAAAGTCAATGAAATATTTGTACATTAGCTGCAACTGTTCTTGCTTTATAAAACTCAGGCGAACAGCTAACGGCACTTTGAGAGTAAAAACAAAAACATATAAAAGCAAACCTAAAATAATATCCATGGCTATGGATCACACATTG